CCTGCCTTAGCTATTCTGGAACCTATACATTATGTAAAGTGTAATGTGTAACTTGAATGTTGAAGATTTTAGTAATTAAGACTGGAGTGGACTAAAAGAACTTCTGATTGTCATAGTTCTGATGCCAAGTGAACCATGAGTATTTCAGTGAACTAAAGTGGATAAAAGTGATAGAGCGTATGAAAATTGTTCCTCAATAAATTCTGACATTGTGTAAAGACACAAACATATCCAGCCTATGTTAATGGCGTAGCTCACTCATAATATATGAAAAAAAGATTTCCTTTCCTAAACGACTTGAAAGCACTTCAGAGAAACCCAGCCCAACCCCATCACTGATTACAGTTTGATAATCACTGCACTAGATTTCTGACAATGCACCCTCCAATTTTATTCCCTATATAGTATTCAAAATTCTTAAGAAACGTATCAAGATTTTTCCCTTCAAAACTGAACCTAAATACACAATTTACACTTCATTTTGGTGATTTTACAAAGCATGTGGATCTCACTGAGTGGACATCAATTTTTTTTTCCCCAGGGCAGTTATGGTGGGTTTTTTGCTTCTTTCTCCTACAATACTGAGAACCACATACTTTATATGACTTCAGTAAATGTCCACTAGGAACAGACAATGTTAAAAATGGAAGAATCCTTAGAGATCATTGGGAAAATTTCTCATTTTTACATTTAGATTGTGCAGAATCAGGGAAGGTAAGTGACAACTATAAGATCACAATGAACATTAAAAAAACTAATGTTGAAAAAAAATACAGACTGCAAAATTATGACACATCATCCATGTGAATGACTGAGATGTATTTAAGAGTTTTAAGTGAAATGGTTAAACCTTCAAAAGAATATATCTTTAGAATTTTAGAGCTTGAGGAAAGAGGTAGACTATTTATTTATTTTTTTGTTTGTTTATAAAAAAGACTTCAGGGTTTCAGAAGAATTGAATTCTCTAAAAATCACAAAATTGTGAAGTACTGGTTTATCATCTGAATGGTATAGCCACTATATAATACTCCTATTTAAACAACTCACATTTTATAGTAAATTAATGATTGCCAATTTTGAAACCAATCAATAAGCATAGAAGCTGATGTACTGGATCCAAAAGTAAAAATAAAAACTTCAGAATATACTTTGATAATCCAGGTTACAAATCTTTACACCCTTCTTTCAGCTTCACTAAACCTAAAAACTCAGAGAGCAGAGGTTGAGAAAATTAGTCATCTAAAACTCTATCTTCTTTTCTCAAAGCAATATAACACACATATAAAGTTATTTTAAAATAATTGTTTGGGAAAATTGGTACCTTGACCCAAAAAGGAGGTCATGAAATCCAATGCGTCTCCATATTTCATTGAAACTTATTCAAATCACTGCAATAGATTTTCTGCTCTTGGGAAATGAGCAGATAAATGGCAGCATTCTTTCTAATGGCAATTCCTGACATTCTTATTAAAGTTCTGTGTTAAATGCCCAGATATATCAAATCAATTCATTGTTTCCCATCCTTGCAGACAGCCCAGAATTTGGGAGAAGGATGGTGGCTATAAAGAAATCAATCATCAGAATGTGCTTCTTTTAACACAAAATTCGGATGGTTAATTGGGTTTTAAAGGAATCTGATATGAATTTAGACTTGAATGCAAAGTCCCTGACAAAAGTTTTGCCAAGAAATGAAAAAGAAATGTTTTCATAAAATGATTACTTGAAAACCTTGAAAGAAATGAATTATCCATAAAGATTTAATATTTTTTTCCTCTTTGAAAAGGTGCATTATCCCAGGCAGCACTAGAAAATGTACTTAGACTGCTGCTGTGGGGAATGTGTAAGTCAGCTTGTCATTACTCTGACCAAAATACCTGATAAAAACAACTTTGAGAAGAAAAAGTATGTTTTCCTTATGATTTTAGAGGTTCAGTACAGGACAGCCTGACTCCATTGTTCTGCGCCCCAGATGAGGCAGAAGGGTGTGGCAGAGGATAGCTACTGGGCTCATGACAGCCAGAAAGCAGAAAGTGAGAGAGCAGGAGAGAGGGTCAGTTGAGGAACAAGATCCAATCCCCAGGGCACCCCACCAATGACCTACTTCCTTCCGCCAGTGCTCCACCTGCCTACAGTTGCCAACCAGGGGTCCTTTCAAATTATTAGCCCATAAATGCACTTATTAAACCTTTAGTGCATTATTAACACATTATTAACCCATTAATGCCTTAAACCATTAATGCACTGATGATGTTACAGCTCTCCTAATCTAATCATCCCACCCGTAAGCATTCCTGCATAAGTAACAGGATAACTCTCCAGGGGACATTAAAGATCCAAACTATAACAGGTCCGGAGTTTTCTTCTGCTGTGGCAAACAATGAGATTTTATATTTACGTTCCCTGTGACACCTTCCAGCATCCACTTAAGAATTCCTCCTATAGAGACAGAAAGTTCACCTGAGAATCCCAACATGGCATATAACCTCAGTCAAGTCTTTAAATCCAATCTGACTTTTCTTGTATCAGAAGCTGGATAGCCTCAGAGAAAAACAATTGATTTCTTTCTGATGGACAAATAAAAAATGACAATACAACAGAAATCAAGATACATGGACCCAAAGCAAAAGCTACAAGTTATTTAACACAAAGTAATAGCAGCCTAGCAATTTGACAGAACTGTAAATCCATGCTACTGATTTGTGGCATTACTTCACTAACAGTACAATGGCAGGGCACTGCCTCTATTTATTATGTATAGTGATTAGCATTTGGAAAGTATTTGATAATAATCTTCACTGCTGTTTTGTTATTTTTGCTACTTGGAGATACTGATCAACTACTAAGTGACAAAAACTTGGCACTTTATATCCATATTAATTCACAAAATAGTTTTCTAGATTGGGTATCATTATCTTCATTTTAAAGATGAGGAAACAGGTGTAAGAAATTAAAATATTTTAGGGTGGGTTGCCCAGCTAGTCATTGCTAATGGGATTCAAACAGCATAAATAATTGCTCTTCTGGGTTTATGACATGACAGGAACTGTGGTAAACAACTTATATTGGGCATTTTATCAAGTCTTCCTCAAAATCCTACAAAATTAGTCAATATCTTACTCACTTACAAGATGAGAAATCAAAAATTTGGAGTTATTAAGGAACTTGCCTTATCAGAAAGATAATGGCTGAATGGTGATTCAAAGCAAGACTAACAACAGAATGCCAGTGTTTTCAACTGCCACTCCATAATGTCTTCTAATTTTAATGCCCATGCTCTTCTCTCTACACAAATTGGGGGAGGGGAGCAGTAAAATTCACACTTTTTGTTTTCATCTCTTCTTATCATCTAATTCCCCAAACAGTGAGACAATAAATGCACCAATGCTTTCAGAAGTTCAAAAGATGTAATGATATTTTAGCTGAACCAGATACTCTATTTCAATTGCTAAAGGGTAAGCTCTCAACAGAATAAAAGATCTCCTAGCAGGCAGAGCTGCATCCATCTTGATGGAGACCCATGTAATAAATTCCTCAATCAGGCTGAAATCAAGATAATTCAGCATCAACCGAGAGACAATCAGCATGAAGTCAAAGGCAATTTCAAAGTACTCCATATCTCTTCTAGATTCTGGGTTTCAGATGGTACTCAATGCCCAGGTTTAAACCCTTTTTGCTGACTACACTTGATGCAAGCTGGCATGGCCATTTGGGTTTTATTTTATTTTATTTTTTTACAAGGTATCTTCTCGAAAGATCACATAAAATTGTACAACCATGAAAAAAACAGTCCAGTAACATTCTGCCATTTCTAATGTTCCCATATTTTTTATTATGGTGGTGAGAGCTCTCTTTACAAGGCAAACTGCAGCATGATCCTGGCAACCTCCCTTGCAAGTACAAAAGCCCAGGACCAGACAACCAGAAAATGGACATGCCTTGGGCACCAGAATTTCTGTATTCCAGTTTTCAATTTCTGTACTCTGGATTTTGGAAATTCTGTTATAACTTGCTGTTTCTGAGCTTTGACAGCCAAATTGGCTGCAAGAAATATCACATATTTTGTCAAAATGCTCCATTTGAATACATATATTTTCTCTGCTATTGCTCAGAATGGCTGATTGAACACAGGAGACACAGAAAAAATTTCACCTTTCTTGAAAGATGGATCCTCTTTTTGGTACAAAGAAAATTAACTACTTGTAATAATGTGACACAATTATAGCTTATGAAGAATACAGGTGTGTTAATGTTAAAAAAAAAAATCCAATAAATATACTGGCTAATTGTGAACAAAGGATCATCTTTAAAAAAAAATATGAGAATTCTAGGCCATTAGTATAATTCATGCTGCTTATTATTTAGGTTTGGAAAGAATGTATAATAAATTTGAATGTGAATTTAAAGACCTTGGCAGAACTATTGTCAGGGAAGGAGAAAGTCGAAGACTGGGTATTTGAAAATTTCCAATACATGAGATGAATATTGGAATTCTTTCATCAACTGCGGTTGCTTCTGTTTGCCTATATTGCCAGTCAAATGAAGGCAGCAGGAAATGCGATCCATTAAACTTAATCACATAAAGTTCAAATCACATTTAACTACTCAATTGAAGAAAAATACCAGAAAAACTAATTACAGAGCTGCAAAATAGCAAGGATAAAACTGAAGCACAACAATAGACAGGAAACTCCCAAGAAATTGAGAGTCAACAAATATATATAATTGTCAGTGAAAAGAGGCAATTTGTATCATTAAATAATTTCAAGGGGAATTAATTACCACTCTGCCAAATGTTTTTTATCTTGTTTCACAATTAAAATTGTACAGTTCTCCTTCATTAGCTAGAGAAAACTTTAAATGATGAAACATGAATCTGGTAAGAATAAAATTCTTACAAATTTAATAAAATTCTTATAAAATATCTTGTTTCAAATATAAAAATTTCCAAGAAATTAAAAAAAAATTGAAAATAAAAAAATTAAGATACTCTATACTCTGTACAGATATGGAAAAATATCTATCTCATTCCTCAGTGTATAGGGTCTTTGAGAATTAAGAAGAGTATCTTATTTACATTTGGGAACTCTTACCAGTTGCTGAGGATGTCTGTACAATGAAATATTCTAGAAATGAGGAAATAACCACAAGATAGGTTTGGGGATCCACTGGACTGGCTTCAAAATGGTACTGAACTAAACTGCATTGAGCATCTGACTTTCATAGGCCCTCCCTCTGTCTAGTCTAATGGATCAGTAACATTTTAGGTCTCCTGGACTTAATGACAGATCAGAGTCAGTGTCTGACAATCCTCTAAAGATCTAATTATTTTCTTTTTCCAAATATACAGTCACCCTGATAAAACACTATGATTCCCAGTGGAGAGGGATAAGGAAGATTATCAGTATATATTCTAATAGTGGAGCAGGGTTCTTCCCTAAGGGAACCCAGCCTCCCCTTCATTCAAGGAGTTTGGACGAGTATACTGCCTCAAATCTGGGAATCAACAGAGGGTTATGACTCACTGTTTTGTGCTTCAGGTTAGTCTTTTGTTCACTTGACCTAGAACTCTTTCACTTATACAGATAAAGAATTTAGTAGGTTCCCCAGCTGCTAACATTTAGAAACTCAGTGATTGGAGGGAGTCCCTCATTGTTATACAAAATTACATATAAGAGGTTGTGAGGGGAATGGGAAAATAAACAAGGAGAGAAATGAATTACAGTGGATGGGGTAGAGAGAGAAGATGGGAGGGGAGGGAGGGGGGATAGTAGAGGATAGGAAATGTAGCAGAATACAACAGTTACTAATAGGGCATTAGGTAAAAATGTGGATGTGTAACCGATGTGATTCTGCAATCTGTATTTGGGGTAAAATTGGGAGTTCATAACCAACTTGAATCTAATGTATGAAATATGATATGTCAATAGCTTTATAGTGTTTTGAACAACCAATAAAAAAAAAAAGAAACTCAGTGATTGAATATCAGATGCTACAGTTCTGCCCAAGTCAATCTATTCTAATTGTTGCTTTGAGTCTACTCATCATGCTGGTAATTATGCCACCTTGGGGCAACTGAGTGCTGTACACTTGGTCCCTGCTACTCCAATACTCATTACTTCCATTGTATTTAAATTTCTCAGGTCAGTGGCAGCAGTGACCAGTTTCTGGTCTTCAGAGAAGAGCAGTCTCAGAGCTCTTCCAAGATGCTTCCAGGATGCACAATTGTATTTCTCATAGCTGTAGTATGAATCATCCCAAGATTAGCAAGCAGATCTTCAGTGACAATTCCACTCTACCATACCATTCTCCCCATGCCTTTGAATCGCTTCCTCTGAAATGTTAGACAGTAGGTCTGGTATTTCAAGTTCATTTACTATGGATCACTTTTTGAACAAATCAAATGTACTTGTTTGTCCATGGTTGAGCCAACCAAATGACTGTCAGAGCCCTTTCTAATTCCCTGAACTACCACTTTAAATCTATGCTTCTTGGGCCTCTTTGAATTTGGGAGTAATAGATTCATAATTTGGGTGTGCCACTCTAGGCTAGTTACAGAGGGACCCAAAATGCCAAGGTTTTGATTGGAGTCTTGAATAAGAGAGAGCTCTGCAATAGGTGCAGGCTGCCACGCACGTTGCTCTGCTCCTTGGGCCACATGATTCAGCAGATTCAATGTAAGCAAAGTGGCAACTGCAAATAGAGATGCTTATTTGTGATCTTTGGCAGACCCAAATAGGCTGATCATAGCATAGAATCTTAGAATGTGAACCAAAGCCCTGCCATCCTCAGCTGACATATACTTTCCTTTTCAGAAACAGCTTTTAGACTGGCAATAAGCCCTAGGAAAGACTGGATACTTAATAATAGCCCATCAAGTTGCCATGCAACCTGTCCATCATGAACTGGGTATTTATCTGATGTAAAAAGCCATAAAGTTTGATGTGCCCAGAGACACTCCATCACCAAACAGCAGTGGTATATGCATTATCAGGCTCATCCTGAAAGCACAAGTAAATTATACCTAGAAGTGTCTAAAATAATATCAATAGTCCCCACTCCTGCTATTTTACCTTATCTCTCAAAATCAGTACCTCTGGTCTCAAAGTTCCCAACTATCTGTTGACAGAAAAAGGGAAGACTTGAGACTGATTTACAGATAGCTCTGCATGATATTCAGGTACATAAAGTAGACAGCATAGAATTAAGGCCCTTTTCTGAAACATTCTTAAAGGATAGTGGTGAAAGGAAATCCTTTAAGCACACATACTGTGAATATTTCACCTGGTTATTTGCTTTACTTGGAAAGAGATTGACCAATAATTTGGCTGGAGAGTCAGGGATTTGTACTGAACATGATTAGGTAATTAGTGACAAGGATGTCTGGGATGAGCTATGAGACAGATCTCTTGGAACAGGCAAAATATGAGATATTGTGTCCCATGTGAATGCTCACCAAAGGATGAACTTGGAAAAGGAGTAAATTAATAACTAGATAGGATGATTCCTTCTGTGGATGCCAGTCAGCCTCTTCCCCTAGACATCCCTATCATTACCCAATGTATCCATGTACAAAGTGGTCATGGTTCCAGGAATGGAGCTTATGCATAGGCTCAGAAACATGGATGTCTACTCACCAAGGCCAGCCTGCCTATTGCCATGGTTGACACAATCTTCCAGCAGCAGAGATCACAATAGGACACCACTTTCCAGGGGGCTTAGCCTGTCACCTGGTGGCAGGCTGATTAAATTGTAGCACTTCTGACATGCAAGAGGCAGTAAAGTATATTATTCTCAGGGAAACAGATGATTATTCTGGATACAGATTCACCCTCCCTGCCTATAATGCTTCTGCCCAAATCCACCACCTGTGGACTTACAGAATGCCTGTTCACTGTCATCCACACAGCATTGTCTCTGATTAAGAAACTTACTTCCTTCATGGAAACCAAAGTTTGGCAATGGGCCCAATGGAATGGACTGGTCTTACCATGTTCCCAACCATCGTGAAGCAGCTGGATTGATAGAACAGAAAAATGACCTTGGGAAGACTCAGTTACGGTGTTTGGTAGGTAACAATGCCTTGCAGGGTTGAAAAAAAATTCACTCAAAAGACTTTAGATTCTCTAAATTAGCATCTAAAACATGAACATGGGGCTGTTTTTCCCACAGCCAGGTTACACAGGTCCCAGAATCAAGGGGTGGAAATGGAAGTGGCACCAGTGACCCAAAAATGACATTTTTTTTTTTTTTTGCTTTTTCTTCCTTATGTTCTGCTGACTAGAAGTTTCATTTCCAAAGAAAGGAATGCTTCTAACAGGAGACACAATGATGTTTCCATTGAATCAGAAGTTAAAAGTGCCACCTGATGACTTTAGATCCTTTTGTCTCTGAATCAACAGGCAGAAAAGAGAGGGACTATGCTGGCTGAGGTGACTGATTCTGACCACCAAAGAAAAATCAAACCACTACTCTACAACCAGGATAACGAGGAACATGTCCGAAATACAGAGGATCCTCAAGACATCACTTGGGGGGCTGGGGATGTGGCTCAAGCCGTAGCGCGCTCGCCTGGCATGCGTGCGGCCCGGGTTCGATCCTCAGCACCACATACAAACAAAGATGTTGTGTCCTCCAAGAACTAAAAAATAAATATTAAAAAAATTCTCTCTCTCTCTCTCTCTCTCAAAAAAAAAAAAAAAAGACATCACTTAGTATTACCAAGTCCTATGATGAAATCCAGTGAAAGTTATAACAATCGATTCAGGCAGGAGTACTAATGGCCTAGACCCTTCAAAGATTTAAAGTCTGTGTCACCTAACCTGGCAAAAAAAAATATGACCATTTGAGGAGCTTGCTGAGGATAAGAAACATACTTAATGGATAACAGAAGAAGGTAGTTAGAAATATCAGTTATATATGTAACCAATATAGAAATGAGTACAGTTATTGTCTTGAATATTTCTTTCTCGTTATATGTTTGAGTGTGCAATATCTTCAATATCTTTTATTCCCTAATGTAGTAGTCAGATTTTTTTTACTGCTGTGACTAAATGACCTGAGAAGCACAATTGTAGAAAGGGAAAGGTTTATTCAGGGGCTCACAGTTTCAGAAGTCTTAGTCCATAAGTGCTCATCTCCATTCCTAAGGGCTCAAAGTGAGGCAGGACATCATGGTGGAAGAGTGCGGCAAAGGTGAGTAGCTCACAGCATGATCAGGCAGCAGAGAGAGACTCCACTTGCCAGATACAAAACATATACCCCAAAGCCACACCTCCAATGCCCCACTTCCTCCAGCCACACCCTGTCAGTCTTCAGTTACCATATAGTTAATCCCTATCAAGGGATTAATTCCCTGGTTGGGTTAAGGCTCTCACAATCCACTCATTTCTCCTCTGAAACTTCTTGAATTGTCTCACATGTAAGCTTTTAGGGGACACCTCACATCTAAACCTATCCTATTCCTTCCTCACGTAACGTAAGATGATGTGCTAACTTTATATAATAGTATAAACACTGTTAATATTTACATCATTATATTTAAGTGAAAGGTTATCAAGGAGAAGAGTAAACATCACAAAGACTTTCCAGGACTACACATCATTTGGGGGGTGAGTCTGTCTGGTTTGGGTTGTATGCAGGAGAGTCACATCATGCTAGGCAGAGGTATGGCCTTCTTATTGTCTCTATTTGTAGTCTAAGCAGGGTTTAAGGAGACATGTTCAGCAGCTTTGTTACTGTAATGAATAAATAACCAACTTATCAAGAGGAAAGGTTTATTTTGTCTCATGGTCTCAGAGGTTTCAGTCCATGATCAGTTGGCACCATTGCTCTTGGACCCGAGGTGAAGTAGCACATCATGTTGGGGAGCACATAGTGGATCAGAGCTACTCCCCTCATGGCCGGGATGCTAAATAGGAGAAGTGAGAAATAAGGGTGGGTTTTTGCTGTCCTTCTTAAGGGCATGTTCCCATGGGCACATCCCACTAGGCCCCTCCTTCTAGAGTTTCCACCCTCCCAACGGTACCTGCCAGATTGGTACTATGCCTTTAACACATGCCCTTAGGGGGACATTTAAGATTTATAACATAGCAGGAAAGGGTTCTGAGTGCTCATCTGACAAGGGATAGACCTGTGATGATTCATTTTATGTGTCAACTTGACTAGGCCAAAGTCAAATAGAATTCTACGTATTTCCATGGAGGTATTTTTGCATATGAGATTAATATTTGAATCAATTGACTCTGAGTAAAGCAGACTACCCTCAATATTGCATATGGGTCTCACTCCATCAATGGAAGACCTCAACAAAAAAGACTGACCTCCTCTGAGGAAGATGGGAGCTACCATTTCTAGCAAATGGCCTTCACTGGTCTTTAGAACAGCACTGCAACTTTTCCTTGGGTCTTCAGACTGCTATTAACCCTGAAGTTCTGGACTTACAAGTCTCCACAAGACCATGAGTCAAGTATTGGAAATAAATCTCTCAGTTGATAGATGCAAAAAATGTATTGGTTTTGTTTTTCTGGAGAACCCTAATACATACCCTAATGCTTTATTCATTAACTTTTAAATATTTTTTTTACTTTTAGATATTATTAGAAAATACTTCTATACTCTGTATGAGAGTCCATGGCTAACTCTATCCTATTGTTTTTTTTTTTAAATCAAACAAAAGCCTGTAATAATGGGATATACTCTAATCCTCTCATTTCCCCTCATCTCCACAAACTGGAGGAGGTTATAATGTAGTTACTATCTACAGAGATCTAGAGTAACTTTGAATTCTAGAACATTAAATGCATAGGCAGAACAAACTTCTGCCTGAGAAGTTACAAATCAATTCTCATATTACTTTTGTAGGGAATGGGTCACAGACATTGTAACAGAATGACTTTATAGAACTCTTGACCAACCCCAAGCAATAGGAGAGCATTCTGAAATAAACTCTGGAAGACCTAGATTGATGGGAGGCACAGCATGACTCAGGGGGAAGGAAGAGGTACCTAGAGGATTGAGGCCTGGATTTAACAGATCTGAACTGCAGATAAATGATATGAACTTGGCAATAACACTTCCTAATTCTAAACTCTTCTTCTTCTTCTTTTTTTTTTCCTTCCAGTATGGAGAATTGAATCCACTGAACTATATCCCCAGCCCTTTTAATTTCATTTTGAGGCATGGTCTTACTAAATTGCCACAGCTGTTCTCAAACCTGCCATTCATCTGTCTCAACCTCCCGAGTTGCTGGGATCGCCCAGCTAACATTTCCCATTTCTAAGCCCTGATTTTCTCATCAGAAAGCTAAAGAAGTTGTTGTATGAGGCAAAAACAGCAAACATAGAAAGGGTAGGTCCACATTCAAAGCTACCCTGGTCCCTACAACTATTTCTGCTTTGGGGTCACCAGAGTTCAGGCCTATGTTTCCTCAGAGTGCTTTCAAATCCTGGGTTGGTCCCATAAATTCCCGTACAATTAGCTTTGTACTTTTTGTAGTCTACTTAAGTCTTAGGTTTCTGCTTTGTTTTGTTGTCTGTGTCATTTGGGCCTGTAAAATGAGATAATAGCTTGTCCTTTGTAGAAGCCTTTGTTTTGATTGTGAATTCTCTATGTGTTCTGTTTCCTTAAAGCATCTTAGGATTATAGAAGTAAAAATACTATGATATAATTAGATTAAAATCAGTGTAGTCAATTCAGTTTTTTGAGTACCTTAATTTTTAATTATTTGCTAATAAATTCCTGAGACTGTGGACTCAGAAAACATTTGAGCTTTCTGATAAGCTCAAATACTGTAGCTCATTAAATATTCCTGTTTGCCAAACACTATACTAATATTATCCTCTGCCTTCACAAAACAGTCCTTCAAGTAGTAATAGCTATTTTTAAATACTTGATTCTGTGCATAATATTAATAAAATATTAATTCCTTCAGCCCTTAAGACTATCATATGAAGTTGTAACCATTATTTCTTCTATTTTTTCGGATGACTGAACTGAGACAAGGAGGTTAAATAAATTTCCTATGTCATCTATTTAGTAGGCAGAACAGAAATTCAAACCAGAGACTAGTTCTCAGGCCTATCTAGGTCCTAATTACTATTATGTGGTGAATCTAGTTTCTTTAATAAGCATACATTGTTATTATCTTTATTTAAGAGTTTTAAATTTTGAGCATCATATTAGTTAGGCTCTTTGCAAAAGTAATACAATCGTTAGGAAAGAGAAGCCAGATTCACACTCAGAAGGGTCTAGCACAAAACCCATGATTTTTACCACCATGAGACATTACCTCCTATTTTAAAGACAAAGAAAAACAAACAAACAAACAAAAAACCAGCAACAATCAAAACAAGTGATTCTGACAGGTTGATGAAACTATAAAGAAAATAAGAAAAAAACTTATTGATGTCAACTCTTGGTAAAATGAAAATATCTAGTATCTGAGATGCTACTGTATTTTGCTCTTGTTAAAAAATCAAAACAAAATATTGAACTGCTGGTGTCCCCATAGGGGACAGCTGATAGGGTCAAGAGAATCCCATAGCTCCCATGTTAGCATTATCAGATCTATTCTGCCTAAGCTCTAGTGAGGACAGTATCTAGTCTACCACATCCTACCTGTCTTCTACTCCTCTGTGGTTTTTGGTTCCTGAACACAGCCAGAGTCTGTACTCAACAACTGCACCTGTGCTCAGGACAAACTGCTCAGATAGAACCTATGAGTTCAATATCTCTGCTCTCCAAACAGAGACTGCCTCCTGCTAGGGGGAGCAAAGACCATCATTATCAAGTCATTTTGTCACTGAACACTTAAGAGAAGCCTCTGTGATGAGGTGATTAAGTCTGATAACTTGATCACTTTGCACTGCAGCTTCTTGGCTTTGCTCCCAATAGCTGCACTACCTCCCTTGCCCTTTCTTATCCCGTGCAGCATCAAGTTCCAGGAATGTGCCTCAATCTGATTTCCTCCACGGAGCCTTCTTTCATCCCTACAGCATACCAAGTAATCACCCATTTGAATTCTAAAGCACAGTTTTCATGTCACTAGCTTTATTTCTATCCCCCTAATCCCTATTTTCTTGATTTCTCCATCAAGATGGTAATCTTGTCAAGAGGAAAGACTACATTATAATCCCCTGCCTGACCTTGTACATATCAGACTAGAAACACACAGCAGACTCAAAAATGCAGCTCCTACTGAACTGAACTCAAATCTGGCTGAATTACCAATGTAGTTCCTGCTGCCCAGCACAGCATCTTACCCACCAAATTTCTGTCTCACTGTCTGTTAAATGTGCTCTCCAACATGGGCTCTCTCCATCTCTTCATTAACAATGCTGTGTGGTTACCCTGGTCGGCAGAAGTAAGAAGTATACAAAATTATAACAAAAGAGATAATGCATTGCTTTATTGAGTTACTATAGAATTCTCAACCACAAATTGAGACTTCTGATCAGATGTTCTTTTTCTCTACAAGATGTTGATGAAATAAATAGTTAAAAAATATTTTTGTTTTAACAATTTCAATTCAACAGACCAGACATTGTAGAACCCAGGTATGTAACCCTGTGTTCGGCAACATGGCAAATACAAGAACACAGAACATGGCTGTATGATATAGTATGTGCCCACTGGAGGCATCCTGCACTATCTTTGTATGGTACTCCCTCTGTGATGCTGTGCAAGAATATTCAACACATGTCACTAATTACAGCTATGACAAGTTGGGCTGGGAATGCATCTCAGTGGTGGAGTGCTTGCCTATAACTATGGCGAATCAATAACCATTTAATTAAGCATTGCATTAAATATGAATCATTGTATTGTTTAATTAAATAGCAAATTGAAGTAATTATTTAAAAGGCATAGTCTCAAATAAGAAGATAAAGCTTAGACTTACAATTTTACTTTTCCCTGTTCTTCTCATTCTTATTTGTTTAAAATCAGAAGTTTTGAAGGGCGAAAAAAAAGGATACCTTTCTCTTGGTCCTTTATAACTTAGTGATTTCAGGGCACTCCCAGAACCCTGAAATATTCCACAGCAAAGCTGTGGAATACTAATTATTTTTCTTTTGAAAATATATCTATAATTTTTCTTTTGAAAATATATCTATAATACTAAACCCATATTCTATCCATTTTCATTGCATTATATTTACTTTATATCATATTTACTATCCTTACCAGAAAACACAATACATACATACATGACAAACTTTTGGAAGAAAGATAATATTATATTTCCATATTCTCCCAGAAAACCAATTGTAATAATTTATCTTTGAAATAGTAAAATTCTCATAATAATTATTTTTAAAATTTTCCATCAGTTTTTCCTGTGCTGATACAAATATGAGATCAATATGAAAACCTGGCTGGGGGATCAAGTGGCAACTTACCGTGGCCCCTTACACTGTGCCTTCCCTGGACCATAATTCTCATTTTATTCCATTTTCCCCAATAGATAGAGTTCAACAGAGTACTATTAAGAGATTAAGAGACTGAGAACTGACTGAAAAACTCATAAGTAGTGAAAAGCATAAGTGCACCACACCTCACAGAACAATTAGTCACATCTTCTTGGAGATCTGGATTCACTACTTCCCAGGGCTCTTCATCATCCTTCCAACTGATAAATTCCATTTTTCCCTACTTAGGTTACAGATTCTAACAGCGCTCTACTGTTCAGCATATCAGCTCTACCATATCAAAATTCACAGAACAAAATCATCTCTTCTTCCTCCACTTGGAGCTTTAGTGTGTCCCGCAAGCACATCAATATATTCAAATAGAAATGGACACCTTGGCCTCTTCTACCCCTACAAGATGAAGTCAACCGTGCAAAAATATGTCCCAAAGAATTCATTTTGAAGCATTTAAAACCATTAGGTTATAATGACACCTTTTTGTTTGCACTAATTATCATAATTTATTATTTTAAATGAAAATTTAAGTATGTAAATAAGAAGTAACATCTCCTAGGAATATGACAGACACATTTTGGGAAGTAGAAACTCTGAGACTATGTGGGGGATCTTTTAAAAAACTGTTTAGAAATTCATGCACTTTTGTAAACTATGAGACAATGCAATTTACAAGCATAGTTCTACATCGCTTGAAGTTGAAAGAATTAGCAGACACACCTTTCGTCCTCCAAGCTCTGACATATAAATATATTCAGCCAATAGCTTATATCAATTTCAAACATGAGTGGCAACAATTATAGACAAATTCAAAAGAAAGCAAAAACTGACTGAATAATTATTTGTCAACATTTTGATTGACATACAAACCATTTCAAAAGGAAATCAGAGTAATCAAGCATTGCCCTGGCTCTACAGTGACAAGGGGTGATCATCTTGAGAGGGAAATTCTAACAAATATAGCACATTTATTTTCAGGCCCTGCACATCACAGAAAATCAAATATTTATTCGTTTGATTATGATGTGATTTTAAATCCCCTTGTGTTTGCTCTCCAGCATAGACTCTCTTCCTCCTGATTGAACATCTGTGGAATGTTGCTTTGGTTATAATTAACATACTCTGGTTGGGTTCATCATTGACTGTGTGGTGGCTTTATGTTCTCAATTGCAATGGAAGATGAGGAAGGCTACAAGGCTGGAGTGCACCCCGACTCTATGGCCTATATTATAGGTATAAGCAATTTTCCTTCTAGCTGACCAGATGTTTCAACATGTTTAATTTGGATGCTCCATTAGGTATTTGGGGAAAAACAATCATTGTCAAAACTGTATTGGGATGAGGAGAAGGATTCAAAAAGAAAGAACATACAGAGTATTACTATCATGGCCATGTATACAGAACCTGTATTTTAGTTATTCTTGCAGTCGCATGGGTGATAAGCTGGTGGTATCACCAATTCTAATCACTGGAGCCAGGATTTCATTGAATTGACACTCTAGAAAAATGTGCTAAGTGCCTACTAACATTCAGTAAATTATATCTAGAGGAAAGGGGAGAAGGGATATAAGGAAGAAATTAAAATCAGAAAAATCTATAACATACTCTGACAATTGCAAAATAGCTATCTTCAAACTGAGGAGCTCTCTTAGGTGGTAACAGGATCATAAAAGAATAAAAGATCATAAAATAGGACAGTTAGTCCCCCTTTATCTAGGATGTTTTCAGTCGTGTCCTGTTGGACTGTTTCCTTATCCATATGGAAAGGGGAACTCCTATGTTGTGTAGGTCTTAGAAGTCCCTTTTAAGTTATGAGATTATAATTATTTATTGGCTACATATGTCTTGTTCCTCTGATCCTTTCCACAGCCCCTTTTTTGCAAATGCCTATTTCTCTCTATTCGAGATAAAGATAACAATTTTCAGCTTGTACCCTTGTGATGTGACATTTTTCTCCAACTGCACTTTTGAATTTTTTATACAACTCTAAAGGATAAGCTGAATCAATTGTGAGGAATGTGCGGAATGTCCATCCATAAAAGGAAACAAGATTAATGACCTCTAAATGTGAGTGGGCACAAGCAATTTACCAGAGTGAGTGAGGGTCATATTTTATCACAGGCAGGTGACTTATTCCAACTTTGCAAATAGTTACCAAAAAGCACAGGACCACTAAGGCTTTAGCCTTTCTCTCCCCATGTGAAACCACTGTGTTTTCTGGTTAAATGACATCTACTATGTTTTAACCCTGAACTCAATCTTCATATGTTAATGAAGATTAAAATAAATTGCCAGAGAACTCCTTGAAGCAGAAACCAACAGAAAAAGTATTTGCCTCCTCAACCTTCTCCACGGGATCTGTACTTCACCCAGCAAGACAAGGAGCATAAAATTGTGTTTCTCACTATGTGGAAAATCTTTAGTGCACGGTCTACTAACTTTGGATTTTTTTAAAATTTCCTTCACCTTGGACATTGTCCTTGTTCCATAGAACCATGGCTGCTAATCAATGCACCACATGGTGTTTGCTTTTAATCTTCTCGGTAGTCATCGTAGGGGATGTTAGAAGGTGTGGACTATGTCAGGACACTGGTAAGCCTTTCTAGCACACAGCAAAAGATAACAAAAATAAAACACTTCACTCTCTTCTGGACCTCAGGGTCCTCTTGTAAGCTCATGCAGTTGTAGCAGAATTTAATTCTTGCAGTTATAACACTAAGATTCCTATTTTTTTTTAAATTTAGTTTTGGTGGTCGTCAGTGTGTGGCCATTCTCTGCAACTAGAGGTCACCCACGGCTCCTGGCCATGTGGTCTCTACTTTTTAAAGACACCAATGGAGAATCTCCTATCTGTTGAAACTCACGTTTTATAAGCATGAGTTATTTGAACATCATACCACACTGAACAGAGGTTAAAAATCTCTGTCCTCAGGAAGATCCTTGTTTTTAAGGTCTCACTTGAGTAGGTCAGGCCCAATGAACAAAATCTCCTTTCTTCAAGTTGACTGTGCTAAATAATAAAAGCTAATTATGAGAGGAGTTCCATCCATCTAACACAATCACAGGTATGCCACACAGACCCAGGAGGATATTTCACAAGGCGGTAGGACATTGGGGGCCATTCTGAAAGTCTTTCTGTGCTGTGATTATTGAAAGGAGGGTCACAAAACTTGAGATTTGAGCCAAGATATGGAAGCTGTTATAGCCAAGACTGGCCAGGAAAGGCAAGCAGAGAGCATCTCTGGAAATATGATTATTCATATGAGTGATGACAGAATTATAGTTAAAATTAGGTGTAAAGTGGGTATATCTGCTAAAGAATGACAAAGCTCTTCATTTCATAGCCACAAGAAATGTGAACATTTGGTGAACTGCGACTTGTCATTTCCTATCTGAACACATTCTAGCATGGTTTTCTTCTTTGTCCCAATTAGGTGACCAAACCAACACCTGACAATCCTGGGCAAGACCACCTTATAAAATACAATGAAGGCTGAAAGGATCAGAGGGTTCTATATTATTAATAAGCAAAGAAAGTTTTGGACAAACAATAAAACCAATACAAATGGTGCGTCCTTAGTACAAATATATGTTGCTAATTAAGAGAATACTGATAGCATATAGCATACTGACTGGGTTCCAATCCTAGTTCTGTTTCTTTCTTTTTTTTTTGGTACCTGTAATTGAACCTAGAGACACTTAACCACTGAGCCACATCCCCAGCCCTTTTTGTTTTTAAATTTTGAGACAGGGTCTGCCTGCTGCTTAAAGCCTCACTAAATTGCTGGGGCTGACTTTGAACTTCTGATCCTCCTGCCTTAGCCTCCTGACCTGCTGGGATTACAGGCATGTGCCACTGACTCTAGCTCCAGCTCTGCAATTTTCTAAGTAGTTGATATTGGGCAAGTTATTTAACTCAATTCTTGTCTCACATTACTTGGATGTAAATGGAATAAAAAACCAAGCTGAAGTGAGTAGTATTTGTATATATCTATCTAATATATATTAATGATTTCTATATAATTTAGAAAAATATGTCATGTAGTTATAATGCAGTGCAAATCATTTGTTACTATTACTACTAGCTGTTGAGATTCCCTCTTCCTTCTGTAAGAGCTAGAGTTGTGAATATTGTCCCAACCATTGACACACCAAAGCTCCCACAGGGTACCTCTGTCATAGTATGTTGCAATTACTTGCTTGCCCACAGATCCTGTCTTCTGGATGGCAAGCTTCTTATAGCAACAGAGTAATGGTGCTCATTGATCTGTATCTCCAAGCTCACAGTAGGCATTTTATAAATATGAGTTGTTTGAAGGTTGCAGCACACTAAATAGTATGGCATCCTTCCAATAAGAGTTTTAAGTAGTGACAGACATTACCAGATGATCACCCAATTCACATTTATACTTCTTAACAAGAGAACTTGGATTGGGGGGGGTAGGATAACAATGTGCCAGGTTCACTGTTTCAATGCCACTTTTGGGATAGTTCAGATCCAAAGATACAGAGAGAAACACCTGGAACTTTCATATCTGGAATTGGGATGTGAGGTAGGAGATGAAACAGCCATTTTGTGACTCTGAGACATAAACTAGAAGAGGAAAGACACCAGCTAAAGATGTCAGAGTGGGGTGACACAGGGGCGTGGCACATGGAGGACTCAGGAATCTGTTGAGCTAGCACTGGAAAAGCGGCTCTTGCACCACCTACAGATACCTGAGGAAAATAAATTCCTCTTAGTTTAAGCTACAATTGTGAGATTGCTATTAAATGCAGCCAGGCACACATTTTAACTGACACATCCATTTATACAGCATCAAAAGCCAAAGATCACCAACGGGCTTGCGGAACACAGTTAATCCATATTAATGCCATCCTCCTGCCACTCGATGATATGTAATTGGATACAGAGCCACTGTACAAGTAACTTGAGTGGGGTGAGAGGAAAAAAAACAGGGAGAATAATGCCTAAGGATGTGGTTAAGCATAACTTCAGGCAATGTGAAGCAATCATCCATTGCTGGGCAACAGAGAGAGGTTTCAATTTAGTGACTCATTTTGCATATGATGTGCCATATAATTCAATTAACCTGCTAGGAAAAGCAAACCACAAACAGAAAAAAAACGTAAATGTGGCTATGGACGTCAAGAGCATCATAAAGGAAGAGATAACTCTACAAAATTCATCATACAGTGGCATTTTCAGGCAATGAATACTTACATGCAAACTTACACACACACACACACACACACATACATACACACACACACACACACATTCACCAACTGCAGTTTGTGTTTATCCCTATAACTTAAGAGTTTATCATTGGAATTCAGACAGCATTTTTGTTAAGAACATAGACCTGAGACAGATTGTCTGTATTCAAATACCACGTCTGTTAGTTTATAAGCAGCATGATCTCATCTTTGGGCCTCTGTTTCCTCACTTGCTAATGTGTGTAGTAGATCTACGTCACAGAATTATTATGAGTTAATTAATATGAAACACACAGGGCGGAACTCAGAACGATCATGATGCGTTAGCTAATGTTTCTGCAATGCTACACACATAAATATGCTCTTAATCTTGATCGTGACTGTACATCACAGTAAGTATATAAAAGCATAACTACATACATATCTATCCATTCATTTCTACATAGAAATGTCCTGATCTATGTGAATGTACCTAGTTTATATATTATAAATCCTTATGAATTTTTAAAAGAATCAGCAGGATCAACCACAACAGCTACCACTTATTGAATATTTACCAGGTGTCAGTGCTGCGCTGAACACTTTGCTTGCTTTATCTCATTTAATCCTGGCAACACTCAAAAATGAAGGCAGTAGTATTATGAGCCTTGTAAAGGATTACTAACTTGTTCATGGTGAAAAAAGCAAAAAATAAATAAATAGGCAGGGGATCTGAAATCAGAATCCAAATCCAAATCTTTCGTCTCCAGAGACTGCATATCTGAGCTTGGTGATGTTATTTTTTTTCTGTGCTAGTTATTAATTTTGATGACACGCCACACCTTGTTTTAGTCAGCTTTGTCACCCCTGGGACCAAAAGACCTGACAAGAACAACTTTAGAGGAGGAAAAATTTCTTTGGCATTCATGGTTTCAGAGGTCTCAGTCCTTAGACAACCAGCTTTTTCGCTCTGAGACCAAGTAAGGCAAGACATTATGGCAGAAGAGCATGGTGAGGAAAAGTGGCTCAGGACATGGCCACAAGGAAGCAGGGAAGAGAGACAAAGCTCAGCTCACAAAATTTATGCCCCAAAGACACACCCCCAATGACCTCCTGAGCCACACCTACTCGCCTACAGTTACTACTCAGTGAATCCCTACTAGAAGAATAATGTGCTGATGCGGTTAACCCAATCACTTCACCTCTAAATTTTCTTGTGTTATCTCACACATGACCTTTTGGGGGACATTTCATATTGAAACCATCACACACCTGAAATGATTTTAAAAAGTCCTGACTTAAGAGACTTCAGTAAGTTTATACTGATACTAGAAAATACTCTTCAACTAATTTTCTGTCAATAAACCTCCTGTTTGTCATTAAATAAAAGTATGATTAAAAACCTGAATACCTGACCTATAGAAAAAGCAATGGCAAGTTTCTCCTCCCCTTGTTCTCCTTTCCTGCACCATGCAGAGTTTAGGGTGGATACTACTTTCTAGGACATCTTCACCCAGAACATCTACGTAATGCCAGTAAACTAGAAGTTCCAGGGGCTGAATGTATGACTGAACTATTCCAGAAGGCCACATGTAAACATGTGCAGCACAACCAATAACAAGATTAAAACCCCATTTGAGCCCTCTTTGGCATAATAAAATTCCACATGTTAAAATGCAGATTTATTTTAAGCCCTGGAAAGTGCTGACCATATGTCTCAGTGGCTGAGGAGATGGCTACTTAATAGATAATCTGAAATGCAAGCCAAAGAACTAATCATGGCCATCTGATCATCATGCCCCCTCAAAAGCCAGAAATGAGGAGCCAGAGAACAGAGACAGAAGCGCCAACACATTTCCCCACCAGGGAGAGACCAGGAGACAGGGGTGATAAAAACAAATATCTTTGCACTCTAAGGAAAAAATACCAAAATGATTAAAAATGATGGTAATACAGCTTTCAGTGAAGCAATACATGGTATGAAACATGAAATATGTTCTCCACTAAACACAATGCCACTATAGTCTCACTTATTCCCCTCTTATTGGGGAATTTGACTAGGATATTTATGCTCCAGGAGGGTAAGATATTTCCCAAACTCTACATCCTGAAATGGGATCTCTGCTCTTAGTTCTGTCTGCTGGGCCCAGGTTAAGAAAGAACCACAGTCTCTTCCCAATGTGCCTTTGTATAAGCTGTTCTCCATACAAGCATGCTCCCCCACCTCTGTTTCCCTTCCTGGCCCCTGCACTACTTTCAAATCACTCATTACCCACTCTGGTCATTTCTGCAATTTTCCTTCCTTCAGGAAGCCCTCCCTGCCCCCAGGTCAGTAATTTTTAGCTAGTATTATAAGAAATAATAATACGAATATGTAATTATAACATGAATCACTTATAGTCCTGCTTTCTCATCTCTAAAATCATAATGAAACTCTTGGGCTGTAGAGTTGATATTAGGGTGAGAGATGTACCCAAAAGAGTGCTCAACTCATAATAGATACTAAGTTTCTCATTGTTTGATAATTGCGATCATGAGGATTGTCATAATTTATAAAATAATATTATGAATATTTCTTGTATAATGTATCAAGAGCAGAAAAGTATACCTGTGATACTTATCTGTAGGAATAATTAAACTCAGATAAAAGTTCTTTCTCTGAGACAGTGTAAGAGGTTTCATGTACACCTCTATAAAATCTACTGAGGTCCTTTAGAAATTCTTCTTGGCTTGATTTTTCCCATAATTCAATGATAAATGAATCAACAGAAAAGTGTTATTAGTGTTCCAGCAAATAATTTGGACAAAATTTTATTGAATATTTATAACAAACATACTAAAAGCCAGGAACATTCTGCAACACCATATATGCTTTTCTAGAAGCACATGTTTATAGGCCTCATTGTCGTTTTACTTCTACAAGAGGTATGTCGACTACTGAACTTGAAGAACTCAACACAATCTGTGCTGTATTATTCGTGGGAAAACATAAAAAAGCTCCAATCCACAAAATAGTGATTTCCTTTAACACAGCATACTTTGGTTGGGTAGGGGGAGTAATAGTGCCTATAGCAGGGTGTCCTGAGCCCTAGAGTGAGGGTGAAAGCCCTGAATTTCCTCTTTGTATTACTCTGAGAACTGTCTCCCTTGAGAAATACCATTTTAATGCACATCTATTCTTCAGTTTTAAGATTTTCATATTTCTGTAAGTATCCTCTGACAAGACTTGTGTGGTCAAACTTCAAAATTCAGTTCCCAAAAATGTCTTGTGGACAAAACTGAATTGGCAAATAGAAATGTCTTTCAAACAATACATAAAATCTAATTAGCAATTTGAAAAATAGTTCACCGATTAAAAGATCAGCTTCATGAAGTTCACTTGAGAAAATCTACTTGAGAAAATTTAAGTCTGATTTGCAATCACTAGAGTAGTTTTATATAAATGAAATAAATCCCATCTATACTCAAACTTCTCATTTTCAGTAAAAAAAGAGTAACTAGAATAGTATAAAAATATGCTAAAATATGCTATATATTTGAGATGCTGTATTTTAATGAGGATATAAACAAGAAAGGGAAATGGATGAAATACAGCTTCTAACCTACACTACTGATAAATTGCAATTTATTTCTTAAAATAATTTAGAAATACCACTGACAATGCTGGATCAAATTTAATATTTCTTGCAGCTTGAACATTTCACTGGTATGGTATGCTAGAACCTTATTATAATATTATTTGTTGTAGTTTAAAAGTATATATATATCTACCATTGTGTTTTTAAAATTGTAAAAATTTATGTGTGCTACATGACATTTTTAAATACATATGCATAGTGAAACAATTATCATAGTCAAACTAATGTAAACTTCATCTTACAGGCCTCTCCCCTTTTTTTGATAAGAGAAAATTTGCAATTATGTAGGATAAATCAGTCTAGACATCTAATAAGGACTATAAATAAAAATATATTGTATATTAAAAATTTACAAAGAGTACATTTTAGGTATTCTCATCATTTGAGTCTTTTACAAATGCATTCAATTAGTTTGGTAACTAAAGAAATAGTATGAAGTGGAGTTATCTAAAAAGTAGTCCTCATGAATAAAAAATATGAGGGTATATTTATGTCCTGTGGTACCTTATTCTCATGAGCTGCCAATGCCAATGAACATGGCCATTCAGCAAATGATATTCATAAATGTTTGTCAATAACTACTTCTGCATATCACTAAAATCAGTGATTGATTTATACAACCAACAGTGTTTATTGAGAGCTTACTACATAACTGACATAAAGACATTCATTGCAAGTCAACTTTCAGAGAATGTTAAGAGCCTGCATTTTTGGAGGGACAGGAATCTTACACTGATTTATGTCTAGCACAGTAATTTTCATGGAATTGGCACTCAGAAACTGGCTATGGAGGACCAAAGCACCAGTAGAAAATCAAAATATGTTTTTGTTCATCTTATGGTGCCATGCTTTCTGTAGAAACTGGTAATCTGTGTTTGCATGGAATTGTAGAACATAAAAATAAAGTTGGCCAGAGCATCTCATTGCCATGTGCTACAGGAGAGGATTCAAGAATACTTTATAAATTTTAATTTATAACTATTAAAGTTAAAAATAATTTTCAAGACACATACACAGAAAGAGAGAAAGGAGGGGGGAAGCACAAATCCTGGTTGAAATTTTATTTAAAAAACATTTTTAACCCTCACTTTTTTTGTGTGTTGCTGGGGATAGAACTCAGTGCCTCATGCATTCTAGGCAGATACTCTGAGCTATTACACCCCAACCCAACCATTATTTTTAAAATGTTATTTTTTAAAATTTTACGATTGAACTAACAGTACCATTATGATCATTCATATTTTAAGCTAATATACTCTTTGGTCACCTATTAGTTTTTCAATAAAATACGGATATCTTAGCCTGTTTCAAAACCATTCCATTTATCCCTCCATTTCTTTTCTCAGCCTTCATTTTCATAATTTTTATGTATCAAATAATTTTTCTGAGTCACCACCACTTCCTCACCTGAATATTTGGATAATAATTTTTACGTTTTAGGTAATTTTGAAGATTGAAGGAAAAGATAAAGAAAATGAAAACTGTGTGGCATAGTGTGAGTTCTCCGTAAACCAAAATCATTCACTGTGAGCATTGTTAATGTTGAGACTCCACGGTAGAAAATGTATGGTTACTATAATAGAAGAAAATAAAGTTTCAAGTCCTAACTCTTACTTTCCAGGTCTTGTTTTCAGCCAAGCCAATTACTGTCCTTGGCCTCTTACTTCTTATCTGCAGAGTAGTGATGACAAATGATTGGCTGATAGAAGGGTGGACTTATCAAGCTATCCAAGAGAGAAGAGGACTCTATTGAAAACCAACAAGAGTTTTCCTTGTTTCTCTTTGTTCCATATGTACCCTGTACTCTACTTACTGGCTAATTGCAACTTGTTTTCTGTCGGTCCTTTTCTGCCTCCAAAAATGTTTGTCCCCCAATTTAGAATGCACTTCAGTATTGCATCTCTCAATACCCACCATGTGAGGGTCAGCTCAAATGTTTCTTTTACTAAAAGATTTAGGATTTTTCCATTAGTAAATATCCTCATTCTCTCATATTATTACCATATCTTTCCAAATACAATGCATATATACATATATATGACATATATTTATATATCTTATTTTCCTTACTAAAGACTACAAGCTATGATAGGTAAGGATGGACTATGTCACTTTCCTTCATTTATCGTAGATGGCTTATCCCAGTGCCTTGCACATAAGCACATTCACTAAACTTTGGTTTACTACATTATAATTTTCTGTGTACTTTGATCTGTAATTTGTTTTATAACTTCTTCTCATCTGAAATAATTTCTACATTTAGGAATACTTCACATTAAGCAGAATACATAACTTTTATTTTACTTTCTATTGATCTACCCACACAGTTTTTCAAATTATCCCTGAAGATAAGGTACTGTGGGGAGTCACAGAGGACAGCTGGAGAAGACTAAGTGTAGCCTCAAGGGAATTTGAATAGTGGAATAGTGGAGTGACGTGTCCTACTTTTGGCATTGGGAAAAAAAAATCAGCAGAAGGAATGAGCAAGATAGGTCTGTCGACTTACACATTCAGAGTTGGCTCATGGGATTTGGGATTCTGCCTCCTCTCCTCCGACTTATTCAAGATGTCCCTAAACAAAGGATCCAGAGAAGATTTATTCTTGAAACTTAGTTCCATTTTCCAATGTTGGCCTTAACCATGAAACCATAACAGTGATCACTGTTCTTATTCTCATTTATGTGGTCATCTCATTTTCCTACATCTCATTTGAACAGCCTGATTCTCCGACATAATTGTTATTAAATCCAGCTTATTTATGTGAACCCTGTGGCTCAGAGTGACTAACTGAATTGACCAGAGTGACTAACACACCTACATGACAGAGGATTCCAGTGGAAACTCTTCTGGCTCCAACCCCCAGCCTCCTTCTAGCCCACCATCCTCCATCAGTTCTCTTATTCCTCAATCTTCCTTCCAACTGGCATCTCTGAAATATAGAGAGGCAAATAATGAAAGAAAAAAGTAAAATAGTAGTGCCAATAGGCAAAAGAAAAAATATCATACAATTTCAGTCTGAGAATTAACTATAAATCTTATGATCTTATAAATGTCTCAAATAACAAAACAACAACAAAATAGCTAAGGTCTGAAATGAGTAAGGACAGCTTTCTCCCTGGAGGGGGATTCTCAGATACTGATAAGGGGAGATAGATACAACCCAAATGATCTGAAAGCTCTTATTCAAGAAGTAAAGAAAAAAAAAAAAAAAACTAAATAAAAACAGGGCTGAGTCCATAGCTTCTACACAGAAGGGTGCCAGGGTTCCCTCTTAGCACATGGACGGTGGGACAGTCACCTCTGAGCAGCTTCTGTAGGCTTATTTAAATATCCTGCCGTCTCCATCCTGAAGCTTAAAGCAAAGAAAGCAAAGTCTGGATGCTCTGGGATATTTCTCACTTCGCAGACCTGTCAAGTTTGAAAGATACTGATACTTGTTTTATTTTTCTTAAAGCCTTTTCCAGCAATGGAAAATACATCTTCTCTTCTCCAGTCATTTTTTACTTTTGTCCATAAATAGCTTCCAAAGTCACACAGTTCAGTATCTGAATACCTGTTTCTAGTTTCCTAATTCATTACAGTGTGTCCCCCCTACCCACCCCAGGATAAAATAAAATTTGGTCACTGAGTTAAAAGAGGGGCTACCTAACATCTGCCTGCAAACTGACTTGCTAAACAGCACTGGGGATGTGTTTCCCCTTATAAATGTAGCATTATGTAATCTACCCAGAATAATCAGAATAGCACAAAAGCAGCCTTAATGAAGACTCTATTTCTTTCTACTTAGGCCTCCTACGTAACACTATCTTCATGTAATTTTATTTTGTAGTCTAAAATAATTATTTCTATATTAAAATGATTGTAACAGTTTTGCAGCTCTATGTGTTCCTTTTTTAAAACCACAGATCCTGTACACAGAACCAACAGAAGGACTAAAATATTAACCATGAAAAAGATTCAGGCTGTATCCTGCACACAAATATTTGTTACTTTGGGAAAGGAGGAGAAATGGAAAGAAGTTATACATCCTCCAGTATTTTCTAGTTTCTAATAGAAATCTTAAACAGTGTTTCTAAAAATTGTACTCTATCAAGAAAATCAAACATAAACAGGCATACTTTAGATTCATAACCTGAATTTACATAACAAAGGAGAGAGGATCATTTTTAAATGTTGCTTTAATTGCTATTTACCCAGAAAAAAAGTTTTAAGGAAGTCTAATTTAGGACAGGCAAGAGGGAAAAGTTTAAATAAGACCTTAGAGTAAAGGATATTTTAGAATGTCAAGAGGTTAAAAAAAAATGCAATTCTTCCAGTGAAGACTTATGAAATCATTGTAAACCAGTTTTTAAAGTGTTAAGGTAGCCATTGTCAATACTGGTTCTAACTTACATTCCTGATCCTTTAGAGAAATGAAGTTCTGCATGAATGACATTAAAAAGCATTTCAAGGTGACAGCAGCCTTCTTTAAAAAAATTCCCCAAATGTATAGATTGAGTTTTAAAATGATGCTGGTTATAGTTTTGATGCTGGTCACAAGGTGGGAGGGACTCTAGGGGTGGCGGGGTTTATAAGTTTGGTAATATTGGGATGCTCTCTGGGTGTCTGAGGCCAGCTGTGATTAAGCAAGCCTACTGTACTACCAGCTTTCTGCATGCTCCCCACAACACAGCAATAACCTCAGTGAGCTGCAAGTTGGCCCACATAAGCCTTAAACTTGTGACTGTGACCTTGCTCATCTCAATGCCCAATACTTATGAGTAGAGTACAGCACCTCATAATTTCTGAAAGGTCCTTCAGAACCTAATTACTTCTCTCAGGCACTTTTGTACATTCTCTGGAGCTTCTCTGGCCAGATCCATCCTAGAAAAGCTTGACATCTGGTCTAGTGAAGTCATGAGTTAGATATGCACATAGCTTCTGAAATCTCATTCCCACAACAGCACTATTTCATTGGTTAAAAAAAAAAATCATGGTTCAGAATGATTCTGCAATTCCCCCAATTGATAGTGCTAATTTACTTCAGAACTAGGATACAAACAAAGTCAGGTCTTCTGAGTCCATAGCCATTAATAGTACTCCTAAAGTGCACTACATTTCTGTGTACTAATTGCAACTTAAACCACCTCCAAAAGGGCCTTCAGCAGCTTTACTGGTCAAGAAGAAGGAAATAACCCAAAGAAACACTATCCATAACCCAGGACTTCAACAAACAAAGGACAGCAGGAAATGGAGAAAGCATTTATTCCCATAAAGTAAGGCAAATAAATATTGAAATGGCTTATGGTGAGTGAAAAAGTTCAGAATATGGACCCAGCTAGGAAAATGTCATAGCAAAGTCATTAAAAGTAAAGATGCTGGGGTCAGACACCTCAGGTCATCTTCCAGTCTTGTTATTTACCATCTGGGTGGCTTTGGGAAAGTTACTTAATCCTCTGCATCTCAGTTGCTTCCCAGAAATACACTCAAGAGACTAAAAAAATAATATTCCTGAGTTCTATTCTTTCTCCAACCATGTTGTCCACTACAGGTCTTTTTTTTTTTTTTTTTTTTTTTTTTTTTTTTTTTTTTTTTTTACGGAGGAGGAACAGTTTATTTGAGGACTCATGGTTTCAGGGGTCTTAGTCTAGGGAATGTCGGCTCCATTCCTCAGGGCTTGAGGTCAGGCTGAACATCATGGTGGGAGAGGATGGTGGAGGGAAGCAGCTCACATCACCACTGTGAGCTGATCAGAAAACAGAAAGTCTACTTGCCAGATACAAATATATACCCAAAGCTGAGCCCCAATTCCCACCTCCTCCAGCCAAACATTACCACTCATTTAATCCCTATCAGAGGATTAATCCACTGATTGGGTTAAGACTCTTAAAACCCAATCATCCTCTGAACCTTCTTATATTGTCTCACACATGAGCTTTTGGGGGACGCTTCACATCCAAACATAACATTCTGTCCCTGGCTCCCAAATGTTCACAACCATCTCACAATGCAAAACACATTTTTTTCCATTTCCAAAAGTCCTCATGGTCAACAGTTCTGAGATTGCTCAAAGTTCAAGTCTTCTCTGAGGCTCAAGGCAATCTGGCATTGTGAGCGCCTGTAAAATTAAAAGTAATTTACAAGTATCCAATATATAAAGGCACAGAGGAAACATTTCCATTCACAAAATTAGGGGCATAGAAAGAAGGGATAGAACCAAAGCAAGACTAAAATCCAGCTGGGCAAACAGGTCCTATGTCTTCATGTCTGGCATTGGGGGCAGATGGCATCGTGATATTCTCTCCAAAGGGCTTGTGTACTTTTTATAGCCAAGTCTCTCATTTTCTTTTCTAACGTCTGTTTTTTCCTTCAGAAAAACCTTCCCTGCTCAGAGTACACAAGGATAATCTCTTATATTTAATTGTAATTATTATATTTTTTCTACAAAAAGTATCTCTTTACTGCATATGGATTTTGTTGTATGACTGGTGAGGTGTTTTTCTTTTTCCCCCCCATCTTTTTAATGCACACTTGAATTTTTTTCTGAACTACAAAACTTTATTGCATAACCTTTAAGCTAAAAGGTTTATTTCATCACATAATTAACTTTAAAATGATCACAATAATTTGTTGTGGCTTCATTTGGTACTTGTTTAATTGTTCATATGCCAAGAACCTGAAAACAATGAGATGTCTTGCTGTCCAGCCATTGGTACTTCTCGCTAAACTCACAGCTGCAGAATTTGCTGATAGCATGACTGCCTATTAATAGTTACTATATAGTATTTTTAGGTGAAGATTAAATAAGACATATAAAGGACTACTATGGAGCTGAGCATATAATAAGCCCTTAAACCACTGCTATTATTTTTCAGAAAGAAATAATTGCACTTCTGAAGTTTTATTATTGCTCTCTGATTAGCCAACGCACCTCCAAAGCTCATAAAAGGGGTGTCAAATAAAAACCTGTATAACTATTGTAGACCTCTTCCCTATCCACAGACTCTCTAGGTAAGAAAAAAACAACAACAACAAACATTTGCTTTCATTACTCTCTTTTCTCTTTTATAGTTAGGGATAGTGGGCAGAAAAACTGTTAAAGATAGGAATGTACATTTAAAACCTAAATGCACAGTGATGGAACTGTTCTACCAAGTGACACATTGCAACAAAACCTAACTTTTAAATGCAACTGCAAACTTGGAAAGGAGTCAGGAAGAGCTAAAGAATGGTCACTACTGCCCTTTTCACCTTAGTTTTTGTTTTGTGAAAGCTGTACATTCCTCATAAAAGCTTACTGACACTAATGCAAAAAAAAAAAAAAAAAGTTGTGGCCACAAGAAAAATTTCAGATATGGAATTTTAAAATGGATTATTCACATGTCTACTAGGAACCTAACCAGATGCTACTTTCTACAAGGGAATTTCTTTAAGGAATGCTATGTAGCACTGTCTGCAATGAGCAAGAAGGAAAATCATGACAGCATAATCCACCAGTTAGCAAAACTTGTGCTGGAGCTCGGAATTCTATAGGAAGCTGATACCCAGGTCTTCATTTCCCATTTGCAGGATCTGCTGCAACCAACTCATGGACCCTTGAAGGCCTACATAGAGGACTTTTAAGCCTTTTGTCATTTTCTGTTATTATGGACCCAAGAGGATGGAAATTAATTTTAACATCTATCACATGTAGTAAAGCATAAGAAAGGGCAGATTTATTAAAGTTAAGACAAACAATGACTGAACCTATTTCTTTTCTTTGGCTGCCATTTTGCTGCAAATGTTTCTATGGCTGCATTTACTGATGTGGCTCCTGCCTATAGGAATTTATTTTCCTTTCAAACATTTTATTGGTACTAAAATAAGACATTACCTGGAAGGGAATGCATAAAATAAAATTGGACTGTCTCAGCTTTGCTACTTTTTTTTTAAAGTCAAGAGTATAATGCATTATTGAGGAAACACTGTCTCTGATTCACCAGGACAGACTGATGATAAAATCATATGGTACGTTGTCTATAATAACCTTTCTTTTCTTTAAGCCATCAAATGAGTTGAGTCTTTATCTCATCAGAGCATTCCTAAATGCATCATTGCAAGAGATCACCTCTTCACATTACTGTATCCATTATCCATAGAGCATGTTCATCCAATTTTCGCAGCAATTTACGAAAAGAAAAAAATAAAATTAAGAAGTCCTGCTTGCCCATACATCAGGGTGATTTATGCTGATGCTTGAGCCCGAGTATTCCTGTTTTCTCTGGCCCTTCTATTTGTTTAATATATGAAGTAGGAAAATTAATATTCTTCTGAAAATCTCTCCTCTGGTCTCTACTGATTTGAACATAAAGTTCAAAAGGAGATGGTATCTTATAAAGACTCTAAGCCTACTGCATTAAATTAACAATACTAATCTCTGTGTTTCACATGGTACTTACACAGCACAGTTTTATAGACATTAAATGAAAATGCCAAAGCTGTCCTTTAGATAAAATGCAATAATGGAAACTCCTCTAGACACTCCTTCAGGTCTTTTTAAAGGATACACTTTAGCTAGCAAATAAAGGGGAGGAAAGAGAGCCGCATTGACTAGGTTTTTCTCCTCCTTAACCTTCCTTAACTCCTCACATTTGTAAAGCCCCTACTAACCTGGAGGAAATAAATAGAAGAGAAAGAAAAAGAGCATGGCAAGAAGGGAAAAAGTGAAAAAAAAAAAAAATATATATATATATATATATCATCCAGTCTTTGTCCTTCTCAGAGGGAAACAAGACAACTATATCAAATTCAGTTCCACTGTCCCTGCCAGACCCATACTAAGGGAAGAACTAAGATGAAAGGGACAAAGCCAACCGTACTATTGAGCTGTTTCCTACATGATGGAAGGGATGGAAGGAGATAAGAGGGGAAAGCTGCAGAAAGAGCTTATGATTCTATACACTTTAATAAAATTCCTGTTCACCTCCCCTTATCTTCCAAATTTTACTTTTCTGACTTGTCTATAGGGATAGTACACATTTCTCTTTAGTCCCAACCAACTCTACTTTTGATTTCATGTATTCATTAATTCAATAGCATCTACTGGAAATCTTTCATGTCCTTGGCTGGCATTAAAGACTCTGTACATAAAGGAAATAATCACTAGCCTTGGAGTTGGCATATCACTACCTTTGGGCTCACTGTCTTGGAGTTGGGGTATGTGATAGAGAATCCTAGAGACAGAGCCAGGGACACAGAGCCACAATAGTGCTATGATAGGGTTTTGCATCAGGTGCTATGACTCTATTAAAAATGATTTGCCCAGACATGGTTTTGTGTTCTTTTATGAAAATTTAACATCTATGATAATTGTTACTGTGCAGTTTTATTTCTACAAGGAAAAAATTAGCAATTATTCCTTCCTTATTCTGGAAATTAGAAGTCTCCTTTGTAAAGTGTGGAGAAAAGTATGGAAAGCAAACATCATAAAAGATTCTGAGTATAGTTGGGCATGGTGTTGCACACCTACAATTCCAGATGCTTGGGAGGCTGAGGCAGGAGAATTGCAAATTTGCAACCAACCCCAGCAACTTATCGAGGTCCTAAGCAACTTAGTGAGATCCTGTCTCAAAATAAAAAATAAAAAGGGCTGGAAATATGAATGATGTTTCTACTCATTTTTGTGTTGAGGGTTAAGTTGAACAAACATTTAATAAGAACATTGATTAAATGTCATTAAAGTCAGAGGTACCTGGTGGAGGGAGAGGAAGCCTATGGTGACACAGGCTGGCAGTGAGTCACACTATCTAGTAGCTCACATTCTGCATGCTGCCACATCCCCTAGGTGGTGTGGTCCTCCTTTAAGTTGATTTATAAACCACACTCTAGCATTATCTCAACTAATGCTTACCATGGAGACAACATTAACCTTTTCTAGGAACTCTGGCCCATCCAACTAATCCCTAACAGCTGGAGAAGTATGAATTTCTCTGACAAATAAAGGGGTTCTGGAGGAGGATGGTTGACAGAGGTAAGGTCTGCTAATCTGGTTTGACTTAGAATTAATCTGCAAACTATAACAAGTCTCCTCCTCCTCCTCCTCCTCCTCCTCCTCCCTCCCTCCCTCCCCCCCCCCCTCCCTCCCTCTCTCTCTCTCTCTCTCTCTCTCTCTCTCTCTCTCTCTCTCTTAAATTTTTATAAGAATGCATAGTTTTTTAGTATCTGCATTTGGGAGACTTTTTGAACATTTTTTTCATGTCATCAAATCTATATTAGCAGCTAAATACCCATACGACAGGTATTTTGAGGCTAGTACAGTTTGAAGCATTTTCTATATTATTCATTTAATACTCACAATAGGTTTATAAGATAAATGCTATCATACCCCATTTATACAGATCATGACAGTAAGAGACTGAGGGATTCATTCCAAAGTTACATAGTTACTGTTTAGAGAACCAGGAGTCCACTTTCCTATGTACTTTATTCATACCGACTCCATTGCTGCAATCTCACCAGGGGTCTTTCTATATAAGGGGATTTTCATGAACATAAACTCCAAGGTTGAAAAGTATTTGGGCAGAAATCTCTTGCCCCTGTTTTGTTTAACATTATATTTTTTAAAAGAATCTATTTGGGAAAATATAGAGATGTTTAAAGTAAAATGTATACATTATTAGTTATTACAAAAATTATACCTACAACTTAAAATATATTAAACTTTTCATGAAAACCTCATTTTAAATAATTCTTAAAATTATGTCTTCATAACAGTGTGAGTCTACATTGAAATACTTGTTAGTTTGTTATATAAAATATCCATAATTGATTAAAATTACCCCTTTTTCCAATAATACTAAAATTAATAAACTTCACTTAAGATTTGCTTCCAAGTTGGACAAAATACAAATCTGAACAGGCAGAGAGAGCAACACATCAAACTTATTTTCAAATGCTTGAAATTCAGCATTGGCATTCAATTTAGAGAACAAAAACCATAAATTATACTTAAATTTTATGCCTTAACTTTATTTTGTAAAATTACAAATGTGTAGGATCTAAATATATATATATATATATATATAAATTATTTAAAAATTTTAATCACTTATTATGCTTCCTACTGGTTTAATCCTTCTTTTCCTTTTAATAAAAATGGATGGCTAAATATCATTTGGTTTCTACTGTTTCTACAGGTCATATTCAGAGCTGAGTGAACACCAAAAGTGTTTAACAGACTTTGATCTTATTTTTACCTCATGGCTCATAAAACTGATTTAGAAACCTAAAGATGTGTCACTAAAATACTGAATGATGAACAGTCAGAGCTTATTGAATTCCTCAAGTCTAAAAAGAATGGTTGACCATGAAAGCAAACATTCTTCAAATGTAGCCAACCACATTTAGAAAACTCTTACAGGGATCTAGAAAATTCTAAACTGCACCATTGCTAATGTGCCAATTTTTCAAAGCCAATAGACAGTGTTTAGAAAACTCTTCCTTCTGCATAGATGCCTAATATAATTCCCATCACAAAGTGTTGGCTTTCCTTTGGAATTATAATGGAAGCCCAGAAAATTTGGAAAAAATTCCAAACATCATCATGTTTGGATGAATAGGACATCCTCCGGGCATTAAGTCTGCTTCACAGAATCATCATCACATTCCAACTGTCAGCAGCATCCAGCTTTCCTCTTGGCTGTGTACTTCATTATTTTTCTCCTGCTGTTGATGGACCTATGTGATGGATGGAGGCCCTTCTAGAATGTGTTACTCAGCAGCTGAGGTATCGCAATGCTTTGAGCAGTACACCAGAGTGTCAGCCTGAAACCTGTGCTGTAAGGCCCACATTGAAGGAAAACTCAATCATAAAGGCTTGCAAAGATAAGTATTCCTTTTAAATGGCTGGTTATTCCCAAGGCAAGGGAAAAATAGTTAGACACCCACAAAATTGAATTATAAACCTGCAATGCCCTACTTTACTTAAAGAAAATGAAACAAATGCACCTGGACGTCTTAGGGTCCTACAATAAAGCTAGAACTTCACAGATTCTCTCCTACAGCCAAGCATGATGCTCATTCAACTACAAAGCAGGGATTTTATGGTAAGATACCTGATTTACAATATGGGTATGATTGCTGTGTGATCATAGGAAAAATGATACTGTAAATTAGGGTGTTCTCCTCTGTCAAGAAATAAAAATACCCATTCCTAGAGTTGCTGGGGTCTTTTACTGAGGTAATAAACTTCTGATCACAATTTACTTATCACTTGAAATAAAGAAAATTAAGGTTAAGTGTATATTAATATGTATTTTGCTGATGGTTATGTTTGTTCTTAATCTGTTTCTGTCTAGTTCAGATACCATGAAAGTATCATCAGATTGATTAAGAAGTAGGGGGAGAGTGGTTGGTAATTTTCTGGATAAGAATGACATCCAATTTATTGCTGTGTAACCAATTTCCCCCAAACTTAGTTGATTACAATAGTCAACATGTATCTCACAGCTCCTCTTAATCAGGACTCTGGGAGTGCCTCGGCTGGGTGGTTCTCACACAGGATCTCTCGGGTTGCAGTCAAGATAGGATCCAGAAATGCAGTCATTGGAAGGCTTGGCAGGGCTGGATGATCTGCTTCCGATAATGGCACATTCACATGAGTTTTCGTGGGAGGCCTCAATTCCTGTCCATGTGGGTTTTTCCATAGATGTCTCTAGAGACAAGAGAACTGGTTTTCTCAGAGTAAGTGATCCAAGAGAGACAGACAGACACAACACACACACACACACACACACACACACCAGTATGAAAGCTGCAGCTCCTTCTATAATATAATCTTGAAAGTGACATAGCAACACATCTGCCATAGTCTACTGGTCATACAGGTCAACCTGGTAGAATAAGGGGACCAAATAAGGGCGTGAATACCAGGTGTAGGGTGTCAGAAACATTTACATAGCATCTCTCAAGTTATGTTTTTCACAAGTAAAACAATTATTTGAAGCAAGAAGTCAGAGAGTTTGAACTACCTGCCTCTAGTGCCTATAGTCCAGATTATTAAGAACATGTACTCAAAATGGCTCAAAAGTGTATGTTATTTCATATTTTTTCTTCACATCCTTTTGATTCTCTTAGTTAAGATAAAGTCACTTTTATTTTAACACTAAGTAGTTGAATTTTAATTTGTAAAAATTAAACTTCATTTTTAATAACAAAAATATAAATAAAATAGTACTTTTTCCAGGCGTGGTAGTACACACCTATAATCCCAGCAGCTCAGGAGGCTGAGATGGGAGGATCGCGACTTCAAAGCCAACTTCAGCAAGTTGTGAGGCACTAATCAACTCAGTGAGACCTTGTCTCTAAATAACGTATAAAATAGGGCTGAGGATGTGGCTCAGTGGTCAAGTAACCCTGAGTTCAATCCCTGGTACTCTCCCTGCCAAAAAATAGTGCTTATGATGGTAGAAAGTTAATATAAAGAGATTATAACAATAAGAAATTCTATTTTAAAATATAAAATATTAAAAATTTGGAAAGCAGTATGGAGATTCCTGGGAAAGCTGGGAATGGAACCACCATTTGACCCAGCTATTGCCCTTCTCGGACTATTCCCTGAAGACCTTAAAAGAGCGTACTACAGGGATACTGCTACATCGATGTTCATAGCAGCACAATTTACAATTGCTAGACTGTGGAACCAACCCATATGCCCTTCAATAGATGAATGGATAAAAAAAATGTGGCATTTATACACCATGGAGTATTACGCAGCACTAAAAAATGACAAAATCATGGAATTTGCAGGGAAATGGATGGCACTAGAGCAGATTATGCTTAGTGAAGCTAGCCAATCCCTAAAAAACAAATACCAAATGTCTTCTTTGATATAATGAGAGCAACTAAGAACAGAGCAGGGAGGAAGAGCAGGAAGAAAAGATTAACATTAAACAGATACATGAGGTGGGAGGGAAAGAGAGAGAAAAGGGAAATTGCATGGTAATGGAGGGAGACCCTCATTGTTATACAAAATTACATATAAGAGGTTGTGAGGGGAATGGGAAAATAAACAAGGAGAGAAATGAATTACAATAGATGGGGTAGAGAGAGAAGATGGGAGGGGATGGGAGGGGGGATAGTAGAGGATAGGAAAGGTAGCAGAATACAACAGTTACTAATAGGGCATTATGTAAAAATGTGGATGTGTAACCGATGTGATTCTGCAATCTGTATTTGGGGTAAAATTGGGAGTTCATAACCAACTTGAATCTAATGTATGAAATATGATATGTCAAGAGCTTTGTAATGTTTTGAACAACCAATAAAAAAAAGGAGGGAAAAAAATTAAACCCTCCATTTAACATAGCATGATTGGGCCTTATTCCAAATCAAACGTCCTAAAAATTTACCCTATATCTTTTTAAAAACAAGTATGGAAACAAGTGGGAGAGAAGAATTGTTTAATTTACTGTCTGTAAAGATATCATTCTAACTTTGAGCCAACTATACTAACACACTGTACATAGAGGAATCAGTCCATGGCAATGGGTAATGAAGTATGTTCCAGTGTTATTCCAAGATAATAGCCAATTTTAAGCAGTTTTTATAACACCCAATTTCAGCATCAGTATTAAAAAAATAATCAATACGTGGTCCATCATTTCTGCTGAAGTGTAGTCCATGTGCCTGAATAACTAATGTTTACCAGACAGGTAACTAGAAAACTATCATACCTGTTTCTTTATGTGTTTTTAATTATCCCAACTCATTTTAAGACTTAAAGAAATCAGCACATATTTTCATGCTGCAGAGGGAGTGTTTAAAGACAGAAAATGAAGAGAAAATACTGCACTATCAATAGACTCGATCTTTTAAACACTTTAGCATTAAGAACTCTAACAACAAATCATATTTAGAATGGAAAATGTTAATGACTTGCCAAAAGCATTGAAGTAATCTTTTTAGCTCTTCGCTGTACTTGTTGAGTTGGTCTCCAGTCTAAATCTCTTAGGGTGATAACCAGAAACTTGGTTCTGACAGACAGGAGGATCACAGATCTGACAGACTGTGGGGTGTGTGTGTGTGTGTGTGTGTGTGTGTGTGTGTATGCAGGCACCTGCACAGTACACTTCTACCTCATTCATGGGATCACAGAAGTATCTTTCTCTACATCTAACTCAAATGAGCTTTCTGGAGGGTTTAAATGATCTGGGTACTTTTGGGTGGAAGTAATGTTAAAGAGGTAACAGTGTGTGCCAATTATAGGTTCAGTTGAACCAATACAGTTATGATGAGTGGCTAATACTCCTTAATTATTTTGAACACTATATCTTAAGAATATCTTAAAAGCAGCAGTGTTTTCCTTTGGCAAGCTGTCTTTGAAGTATGAGCTTAGTATTCTTAGCTGTTCCCCTCTATAACGTCCCTCACTGTGGGGAGGGAGAAGCTTGGCTTGAGAGTCCTATCTAACAAATCAAGAAACAGAATTTCTCTCCCTGGGGTTTTCAGCCCAGCTGGTTCCTTTTCATCTACTCTGCCATTATAGGTCCCATTCATAATCGTACAATAGCTTTGTCCCATCTTGTCCCCCTTCATGAGATTTGCCATATGTGAGCAACCTCGGAATTCATATTTTTAAAACGTCAGTTTCAGTTAAATAAATTTGGTTTTAAATAAAATATTTAACTCTCATAAACGTATTTTTTGATTTTTTTCCATAAATACAAGGATCTCATACAAAAGATTTTGTAAACAAGATCCTTCTCACAATTCAGATTCACCCCACTGCCATGCTTCAGACAGAGCCTTATATTTGTTCTCTTGCTAAAAATGGAGAGTCACAGGTCTTTCAGGAGTGATAAAGATATATTTGCAGTAACCTGAGGCTGTGTACTGATGCTATCAAAAGACTGAAAGAAAACATAAAAGGCATTTCTTCCTGATTATGTGATCCAACTATATTTTAATGCCAAGACTGTGTGTCATGAAGACTCAGCTTACTTCCACCAACAGCTGTGTCACACATTTGAAGGACCTGTGGCCTAGACTTTGAAGAAGAGAACAGGTAGCTAGCCTGAACATTGACACTGCACCATTAGATAAATCTGGTCTGACAACAAAGAGACAGTGAGATCACCATACTCAGCATTATGGCCCTCAATGACATTGACCTCCTGGGGCCTCCAGGACCTCTGCAGGATGATGGGCATACCATGGAGCATCACTAGATTCTAGCTAGTGCAGACCCTTTTCTAGACTGTCACTATCTTCACTATCTGTTTTCATTTTCAATATTTGCTTTTGCATTTTGATTCCCAAAGTAGGGGAATGTTTGAAACAGGATAGGAATTGCCATCTTTAGAACAATTACAACATGAAATGAATTGTATCACCTTTCAAACTTGATTACCTCCATATAAACTTAAGAGGAACATTTTTCAAACTTAAATCAGAATCTGGACAAGTTGACCTCAGACCTTGTCCTGAAATGACTCTTCCCTTGGGAACCCTAGGGAGGACACTTAACCACTCTCTGTTCTTGGTAAAGAACGATTATTTTTAAATGAACAGGAGATCCTACTTTCCCCTTCTCATTGCAGCAAAAATATTTCACAATTCTTTTAACCAGTCTAAATTCGGAAGAGTTATGTCTGAAAGATTCTGTCACCAGAAATATATTCATTCAAGAAACTTTGTATTCTTTCATCTGTGAATAAGGCAACTCTATGTTTGAGGTCTACTTTATGCAATGTAACTTTTTAGGCCAGATTTCTAGGAGTTAAGTCCATTTTATTCTTCCTATATTTGGAGTGTTTTGTATTTTGACCTCACTTTTCATAGTCTGAATTTAAAAAGATGGGATCGATAAAGTTGGAAAATATGGGATGGAGCAACTTTATAACACTGAATTCAACCTATGACATATTATTTCTCTATGTCAGATAAGATCACATAATGAATACTGCAATCACACTTTTTAAAATAAAGTGTTTCTTTATAAAGAAAGAAGCAAATCTTCTGTAAAATCTATGACTGAGATGATTTAAAGAAGACATAAAAGTGAATTAAATGTTGTTTCAACCATCAATCTTCCAAAGAATATATTCCAAGAAAAAAAATGGTGCAAATGTTTTAGCAAAGACAGTGGATTTCTATGGAGGCACTTTAAGATCGAGGACATAGATTATGAATGTAACTCAAGAGAACAAAATAGAAATGCCAAGTTAAACATGGTAGTTTTTAACAAATAAATTATAATTAAATAAGGTGGAAATCCAGATTGAGAGTATCTGTGGCCATCAAAAGAAGGCCATGATGGTCTTCTTTTGAGTTCATTTTTAATATTATACACCCAATGGTCTAAATTGTAGAAGGCATCTGTCCTGACTCACTTAAAGAACTCTATTTTAATTCCAAGGGTATATAATTAGAATACTAGTATTCTAGCACTTCAAGATATTTTTAAAAGTTGTTTGAAAACTGCTATATCATCACAGAAGGCTCCTCCCTGGCACAGAAAATGGAAAAGCTGCTCACAGTGTCAGGATGCACTTGAATCTTGCTTTCCATTGCCCTTTTCTCTTCACTTCCAGGCCATCCATACCTCTTGACTCCAGCATTGCAATCAGTTCCCTGCAGCCATCCAATGCCAGCTGGGCTTCCAAAGCACTTCTTTAAGGACAGTGGCACAGAGCTTTAGGAACAAGACTGCAGAAGTGTCACACCTGTGCTCAAAGGCCTGCCAGGCTGCGTTCCAACCCCACAGCCCCTCCCGCCACATAGTTCCCATCATTTCTGTCAATCTGGTTCACTAGCCATACTGCCCAAACCCCAGCACAGCTCCTCTGCCAGTACCCTCATCAAAGCCTCCTATTTTCTGTCCAGATTCTATCCTTGACCTTATATCATACAGATAGAGAATTTACTCTGTAAAGGTTCAGATGCTGAATATTATTGACTGGGTATACCCAAGCTCCTGTTGCAACCAGTCAGCTCTGCCACTGAAACACAGAAAAAGAGCCATAGTCGCTATGTAAATGAATGGGCATGGGCCAGGTTCCAGCAAAACTTTATTTTAGGACATTACATTTCAATTTCATATAATTTAACTGTCATGAAATATTTTTCTTTTTATGTTTCTCCAATCATTTCACAATGTAGAGGCAATTCTTAGTTAACAGACCATGCAAGAACAGACAACAGGTAAGATTTGAACTGTGGGCTACAGTTTGCCAACCCCTGTTAATTGTAACTCCTCTGCTCACAATCCCACAGTGGCTCCCTGTTTCACTCAGAACATATGCTTGGGTCCTCAGCATAGCTTATAAGGCCACATATTAATGAGTTCCTTTGACTTTCTGCCTTTATCTCCAATTAATCTGGTTTTCCTCTGTTCTAGATAACTCTCCTGCTTTGTGCCTCTCAAACACATTTAATACAAGCTGCCTCAGGCCCTTTACACCAACTTATTTCTCTTCCTGCTCCCCCCTCCTTATATTTCCATGACTCTCTTGCTTACTTCACAATTTTGATCCAATGCCACCCTCTCAGAGTCTATAGTAACGACTTTATTTCAACTGTAACCATACAGTTTTAGGCTGAATTGTGTACTCCACAAGTTCATACATAGAAGTCCTAACCTTTGTTATCTCAGAATGTATGATATTTTAAGATAAGGTCTTTAAAGATGTGATTCACTTAAAATGAGGCCTTTAGAGCAGGCCCTAATCCAATCTGTTTTTATAAGAAGAAATTTAGACACCTAAATAGACAGCAGAGGCATGCATGCAAACAGTGAAGACTGTGAGGACATAGCAAGAAGGTGGCCGCCTATAAGTCAAAGAGAGAAGCCTCCTAAGAAGAAATCAAAGGGGACTTTCACTTCCAGAACTATGAGAAAACATTTTTTTCTGTTGTTTAAGTCATCTAGTCTGTGGCATTTTGTTATGGCAGCCCTGACACATACCCTAACTTCCACAGCCTCTCAAACCTACTTAACCTGTTATATTTTTACCCAGAGAACTTATCACCTCTAACACACAATTGAGTTCACTGCTTTGGCATGCTTATTATCTGTCTTCCTCTACGTGAGGGCAAGGATCTTTTGTTTACTGATGTATCCCAAGTTCTTAGAATAATGTCCAGCAAAACATAGGTACTTAATGAACATCTACTAGATAAGTGAAACACTTGCCATGCATTTATCTCTTCATATCCTCTGCCTCTACTTGCTCTTTTGGGGAGGTCCAATCACCAGCTCAGCATCTCTAAACCCAGGGCCAGTAAAACCGAGTTCAAATATTACCACTGCTGAGAATGACTCTCTTGCCACCAATAATAAGTGGTCTCTCTTTGGATTCTACTAATACACTGTCTGTAACTCCCTGGCATCACTTAACACATTGAAGCCTGCATTACATTTTTTTTAAAGTATGTTTTATCTTTTCCACTAAGTGTTAAGCTCCTTTATGGTACAGCTGTTGCCTTGAGCATTTTCAAATCCCTCACCATACCTTCTGAGTATGCCACACAGACTAGGGATACAATAAACATTTGCTGCACTTAGGAAGATTATTATTATAAAAACACTTGTTACTTACTGTATTGTGGCAGGTTCATCTTAGGACTTTGTTATTGTTTCCATCACAAGTCATAACCTCTTGAAGGTTGTACTACCATCAGCCCCCTTTTATTGGTGAGGTCATTGAGCCTAAGAAGATCAACTTGCCAAGAGAATACAGCTAATGATTAATAAAGTTAGATTTCAAATACAAATCTATCACTGAAGAAAGGTGATGAGATTCATTGCCCCACCTGTAAAAAAAGAGAAATGCTTACTTTTAAATAAAACTACCACTATCATGCTAAGTGAAAAAAAAAAAAAAAAACAAAGAAATATGTGACTAAATTCTCATCTATTTTAGAGGTTTGAATGGATCAACTTCACAATTCCAATGACTGCTTGGCTTGTTCTGAACTTAAAGTTTAGTCTCTGTGTGTTCTTTAAATTTATATATTTCAAGTTTATATATCTGAAATATTTTTTAATTCATATTTCATAATAAAATCATCCTCTAGATCTTGTCTTACTAGTAATACTTTCAGTTTTATAATATAAAATATATCAAGTATGTTCGGCTTTCCAAAAGGTAGTATTTTAATATCTATATATCCTGCCATCACTTTATAATATTTAACAAACAATTTAATGAATCAGAATCTTCTTAATATTGACTTCTAAAGAAACTAATTTCTATTTTTCATTTTTTTTTAATTCTACTGTACTTTATATCCTACAAAAGTCAAGGTGAATACAGTTATAAATCTTACTTTTTAATAAAGAAAAAAATTTACTTAATTATTAATTAAACAATTTAATACCTTTAGACTAATATACTTTTTAGAAAAAAACTATTTATATATATATTGGATCAACATATAAGTTATCTGGAATTTTTAGGTAGGAGGTAATTTTTTGAGAGAATTGAAATAAAATTGAGTTTAACCCTGTAAGTATATAAATTTTAAATTTTGCTATTTTTGAAGGAGGCCTTTGCATTCGAAGCTCTGTAGTTTGAACATTTTAAATGGATAAAAGCAAAAGTACTCTGGCCTTTTCTAAGTACTTCAGAACAATTGGATAATATTAATTAAACTACTTTAAACTGATTGATCAGTATTCAAAACAGGACTTAGCACAACTTGAATGAGTACTGTATCCCAGCTACTGTCTTTAAGAATTCTTGCTCACAAAAGGATCTGGTGATAGCTTGAATTAGGATCACTTAATTTTTCTGATGCAAAAACTGATGTCTTGTCCAAGGTCATTGCTAAGATGAAATAGTGCTAAGATTTAAGTCCAGGTCTTTGGGGCTGTGAGGCCCAGGTGTTCCTATCAGATGAAGCCACCAACTAAGGCACTTATCACAACCTAAGGTGATGCTAACAATGTGCTTCTGGAATTCTGGATGAATGACATTGGTAGAATCACCTCAGTAACTTGGCTTCATTTGTGTCTTCTGCAAGTAAAGTAATCAGACCAAATGATTTTTAAGATCCATTTTTTTCTTGACATGTCTAAGACACAAACAGCTCCTTATTCAAGTATAAGCTACACAACACACATAATGCTGCCTTTATAGCTACTCTTGTATTTAGCACTTGTACTCAAGAGTGGCAAGACATCAGTTTTTGCATCAGAAAAATTAAGTGATCCTAATTCAAGATTGAGTTTAGACAAGTATCTTACTTTCAGAATGCAGGGACTGTGCTCTCACTTGAGGCAGGCTGGGAGAGATCATTGCAAGGTACATTTGCATGTGTTTGGGTACATGTCCAGCAGTTGGCTGTCTAATTTCCCTTGGGGAACTTTAGTAGACACAGCATAAAACTGATCTTTAAAGTTCTAAAAGCTCTTTACAGATTTGGCTTCACAGCTGTTTGAAGCCTTTGACTTTTGTTTATCCCAGGGAATTACAAAATGGTTAGGAAATTCTTATGTATCTCCCAAAATAAAACAGGCTCTATGTACCTTAACATAGCGTACAAGAGAACGCAACAGACTTGGCAGGCACTATGCGTCTTATCCTAAACTGGTGCCCTCAAAACATAGAAATCTCCCCGTAATAGAGGTGAAAATACTGAGCTTGGAGAATTAATTACTCTTACAAGAAGAAAACTACAGAGATAAAAAAGATAAACTCAAAGTGATAATACTTTTTTTCTTTTATTGATAATCTCTAAGATCATAGCACATCCAAGGTAGTACCCTTTGGTTTCCAGCAATTTCATCATAATTAAAGACTAAAAGAACTCATGTATTTCTATTTTTAGTTTATTAGTGTCTCTTATACAAGTAGAGATATGTGCCTACTTTGTTATATGAAAACACTATAATTATTCATTTGCAGAAAAATGAGAAAGCATGAAACATGGATGTTCATAAGTAAGTCACTCATGATATATATGACTTTTAAAATGAGCAATTACACAACCCGTACCTCATTTAAAAATGTGTAGGTACAATTTTTTTTTTTTTTTTTTGCTTCTAATTACAGAGAATTCAGACTTTCAGTATTCTGCATTATCTGCAACAGTTTCTGGGAGAAAATAAGAAAACAGCAGGACTACAGCAGGGATTAGAATGAGTAGCTCAAGGGGACAAAATCAGAAGAAGTGATACAGGCAAAGAGTGACAACCCTACCAAGCTTGAGGAAGACCTACGAGAAACAGACAGGAGATTGTAGGAAGGCCTTTTTTGGATACGGTGACCAGCACATGGCTCAACAGATGACATTTGAGCTGAGAATGAAAGTCATCTCACAGCTCTTCAGTGAGGACTTGAGTTTGAGGAGAGAACACTATGTAGGGAAACAAGTGGATAGTGAAAAATCAAGTTTTATATCTCAGCTCCTGCATATCCCAGAGGTGGCAACTTGGGCTAGATTCTTCAATGGTACAGCCTAGATATAATCATGTGATCAGAAACAACCACATTACATTATATGGATGAAGACATGCACGTATGTCTGATATTCTCCCACAGCACTGTGCCAGGTTTGAGTTCAGTAAACACTGTGTTATGGTAGACCTGAAAATTACATATTCCTTCTATCTTTCAGAAGATTTTGATCTACTTGAGCTACGACTTGAACACCAGAGATGGTCTAGTGACACTGTGTTGATGAGTAATAAAATGTTGGATCATATGGAATAGACAACTCATACTAAGGGAATTAAATAAATAAAAGGAATTAAATCAATGCACACCACAGAGTAAAGCTGGGCTCCAAGGAGAAGAAAAATGAGATCTGAATAGGTGTTTAACTGATGAAATGTGACATTCACTATCTGACCACTCGAAAAGCCACAGAAGGATTCCCCCAGCCAGGGATGAGGAATGGTGAGCTTGGCTAGTGGATCCTACAACAGTCAGGGAAAGTGTAGGCAATCAGGTTTTTAGCCAGACCTACTTTTCCTACAATTAATCCCACTGATTCTCTTCCTGAGCTGATTGTCTCCTTCCTTGTTAGCTCCTCTCTCATCAACCTAATTCTTACAGAGGAAAATATTTTAAAGGTTCTTGCCTCCCCTCTGTCCACTGTCCTTGTCTACCCTTGGTGAAAACCACAAGACAGCTCTCCTCTGCCTTTTGAAATCTTAGCATATGTTGGTTGGCTGCCTCGTATCTATTTTCTGTAATGGCAGGGTGACAAGCAGCAGTGGGAATGATGAAGGAATGTCTTACAAAACCACAAGGCTCAGCTCTCAATAAGCACTTAATAAATGTTGGTTTAAAAAAAAATGGAATTATCATTACTGAAGACTAATAAAAAGCAAGTGAATTAAAACGTTGCAGTCATTTACATGTATTCTTCCTTTCTGTTTACTCCTAATTAAGAGGAAGCATAGTGATAATTAAGTATCCAATTATTATTGGTAAAAATTTAATTTGAAGAAAACATATAGAACATTCTATAGATACTAGATCAGCAACAGTCACAAAAGCTGCCATTTGTAAAATGTCTGCTATCTACAGAAATATATGGAGGAAGAACCCCATTATATCCATGAGATGCACCTTCTAGATGACTTCAGATTGGGATTGGGGATAAAGCACCTTCTAGACAACTTCAGTGGGATTGGGGATAAAGCAAGAATCCCAACACAGGCTGCCCACCCATCTCCTACATGTGCTTCTGCCCATCAGCATAGTTGGGGGTTGAGCAGAGACAGCAGCTCTCCTGGAACATATTTTTGGAATACAATCCTTAATTTTAAGGTAATATATTTATATTATGGTCATTAAGACTATAATGAAAAGACATTGGAAGGAACGAAATGGAGCCAGATAGTGAGCCAGATATGAGACACATAAAGAGGGGTGTCAAGTAATGGGCCACTTTGTAGGAGGTTACTCCCTGAACCAAAACTTGGCACAGTCCATCTCCCTCAACCCTGGCCACCCATTCAGCTCAGCTCTGACTCATTCCCCCTCAAATTGGAAAATAATGACAAGCTGATCATCCTCATCCATTGTTATATGCTGATCTGCTGCAGAATCCTATCTATTCTCCTTTAAAAACATAATGTGAACATTAGTACCAAATAAAGAATATCTGGAGGCATCTTCATGTTACTATGGTATCTCTAATAGGTAGGAGAAATGGATGATATTAGGCTTCAAGTCATACTTTGCAGAGGCTTAATCAAAACTGATCTGTTTGTGAAAATGTTTGCAATATACTGCAATATAAACAGATATAGATACATATCTGTGTGTATATAGATATATAGATAAGCAGAAAGAATATATCACCACTAATATCTATGTATCATGACCAGTTGGACTTTGTTTTCTTCTACAAAAAGCAGCTTCTTACATCTTAGCCACCCACCCACCATCTACCCACAAATGGATCACAATGCTAACATATTGATCTGGAAGATATCAATTTGCTTGATCAAAGAAAATCAATGCATAGGCCTAGCAAAAACAAACCATAATTATTTTCTGAACTGTAATAACATCCTCTTATAAAACAAACATCACATTATTTTATGTATCATTTAATTTGACTGATTACCATCACATCATCATCTTAGAAAACAGAGCCACTGTCATTGGAAGGCAAGGGTTTATCTTACTTAGATAAAGAAACATATAGATTGATTTTGGAAAGCAGCTTTGCAATTGAAATAAAGGATAATAATAGCAAAAGATGTGGTCAACAGATAGGAACCTTATGATTCACCAAGCAAAATGATTAGCTTGATCTTTCCACTCTCAATAACTTTTGAGGAGGAACAACATGACCACTGTTTGTAATTTTAAGCAAACCAAGCTGTTTATTGATGATACCAGTGGTGGGTGAATGTATAATTTTACTGGCAGGAATGTATTTCTCTTGATTACAGTACTTTCCCTGTTGACATCAAGGTGGGCTCTGTTATAATTTGGATTCCAATATGCCCCCAAAGGCCCAAATGTTAACAGTTTGGTTCCTGGCTTGGTACTTTTAGGAGGTGGCAGAACCCTTAAGAGTTGGGTCCTACTGTTCAATGGGGATGTGATCTCAGAGGGAGGGGGTCCTCAGCCCTTTCCTTTTCCAGTCATGAAGGGAGCAATTTTTCTATACATTTGCTTCTCCTGTGATTTTTCTGCCTTGACACAGGCACAGAAGATACAGATAGGCACCAGTAACTGATCAGGGGTTGAAATCTCCAAAACTGTCAGTCAAAATGAACCTGTTTTTTTTCCTAAGTTGATTATCTCAAGTTTTCATGACAGTACCAGAAAGCTGACCAACAT